CCTCTCTCTCTCTCTCTCCTCAGTCATCTCCTCTCTCTTCTCTCTCTACTCTCGTTCTCTCTCTCTCTCTTCTCTCTCTCTCTCATTAGTTCTCTCTCTCTCGTTCTCTCTCTCTCTCTCTCAAGAGAACGAGGTAGTGGGAAAGGGAGAAGGATATATTATGAGCTTAGTGGCCAATACTTTGCATCATTTTGGGTCAGTTGGTATGCGAGTAAAGTAGGAACTGTATTTTATGAGGTGTTTTGTTCATATAATTACTACAATCATATAATTAGTACAAAACTTACCAAATATAAATAACCCTACCACTATAGTACATATTTGTAACAGATCATCAGTGGTGGCAAATGCATAAGCAATAGCTACATTACTATGCAACAAAATCCATGATGCAGATACTATCAGCCATCCTCTCACCACCTTAAGGATTAACTGAAAAAGAGAATTTTTTTCACCATTAGTACACACTTGTAATTAAAATTTTAATATATCAGCTTAATCTGTCATTACCTAAATCTTTAATAATAGTAGTAACAATATATAATAATAGTTAATAATATAAACACACTTGAAAGTTTAACAACCATATGGATATGTTACCCTTTCCTTATTGTCAACTACTGTTGCAACCTCATAATTATAAGCTTGAAGTAATTGTCATAAATTATTTTTTGACTGTTCAAAAAATGACTGCCACAGCCAGGAGTAAAACCCACATTTAATGATATATGCCCCATTGTTCTAACCACTTGAGCAACTGAGTAAGTCAACTCTAAAACAACCTTAAAGGAATAGTGCCTCCGGCAGATTAACTTAACTTTTCACCACCTGGTCACTATTAGAAATTAAACAATCATGAGGGAAGACCTTTCCTTTTCATAAGTTTGTATTACTACTGAAATTAATAATACATACAACTAATAATGAACTTAAATTCTTTGTGAATAGTCCACAATTTATAACTATTGCATCATGCCTAGTAGCTATGGGATTGCAACAATAGTCGATAATTACAAAATGGGAAACATATGTATATGTAATGTTTCAACTTCCAACTTACTGGTGTGTATTGAGTCATTCCTTGTCACATTCCACAGCATTGAGAAGTGACCTTGATGTCCCAGATTTTTAAATCCCTGCCAATCAGCAGTCGACTATTACTGAATAGAATAGAAATATCCCTCCACACCTTACTATGTTCCACATGTATACTTATGACCTTGAATGAAATTTAAATTCAAATTATGAAGTATTAAAAAGATTCAATTTAGTTGAAATGAAATGAATATTTTTACAAATAAGTTTGCGATAAATTTAATTAATTTGATATTACTTTTACTTCATTTTACAGAGAATATACCTTTTAGTGGCTGTTTTGTAAAGAAACCCTTCTACTGTTTTGTTTATTTTCATATCACTGTAGCAAGTCCTATTTTCTTCAGAATTGTTAAAAATAATAGTAGGGATTACAGGATTGAAGATTAGCTTTTATTGATATTTTTTTAGTTCTAGAGTGAAGTAGCCCAGTTTAAGACCAAATTTCACTCTTAACTCTACAATTTGAAAATTGCAAAGTCTTGAAATTTTTTCGACATCTTCCTACAACTACAAAATTGAAGATTGATATTTTTTCTTCAAATGACAGGTGTTCTCCATAATTAGTTCTTTAATTTGGGTTGTGCATATTTTTTTGAATATTCTAGTAGTTTTTGTCAATTTCCATCAATCTCAAACGTAGTTAACCTTCTAACGTTGACAGGGTGAACTCTGAAGTTAATCCCTTAAAAAAATTGGAAGGACAATCCGTATTGCCTGTGATAAGTTTAAGAAGAAAAATTGTATCGGCCAAGTTTCTCGGGGATGGCACATTCGTGTGTTTATGATTTTATTCCATTTTCCCCACACACAGCCTGGAGAGAGCTTAAGAAAGGAAAAAAGAGTTTCAAAACTGGTTAACAAATATATACAAATAACACAATTGAACACAATCCTTTTTTAGAGGAAAATATCTCACAAGAAAATAATGAACAAAACTGAAAATAAATTTTAATTATTGAATGGAATTTTATTGAAAACAACAATCAAACTAAACATCAACTAGTATACTTTCAGTAGATTTTCAATTCATTTAACAAAGTATAAGTAATTACCTATTATTCAAATTAAATACACCTGTAATTTTCATCACAATCAAGATATCTAATCTTTATATAGGAGTTGACTAATCATTTTTAAAACACTGCTACTTGTGAAAATTGCAATACCTAGAAGAAATGATTGTCATCACTTAAAAAAACAACGGATTGAGAAGAAGTGATCCATAAGAATCCATCCATCCAGCGGTCCATAAGAAGTGATTAAATTTGCGTAGAGGTGGCGAGCACATTGGTCTAGAAGTGCCCTCCTTTGTTTGACAGGTCAGATCAGTGTTACGTCACATTCTCTCGGTGTAGAGCCATCAAACAACATGAAAATGTGCAAGCAATTGCCAGTATGCCTCACCGACACCAAAGAGTGCAATATCAGCATTTGCCCTGGTACGAATGGGATAGAATGATCAGTATCCGGGAACCGGGGTTGTCATACTGTGTCATTGCAGCTCAAGCAGGGCACACTGCAACGACAGTGATGCAGGTGAGGAACCAATGAGTACAGCAGAGTCCTACACAGCGATGAGCGAACCACACAATATGACCAAATCACAAGATGACCGCCATCTTGTCAGCATGGCCGTAACCGACAGAACGGTGTCGTCCAGTGTCGGCTCGACTTTGGAGCACTGCTACAGGTGTGGTCATGTCTCAATTTTAAAAAAATTACCCAAATGTATTTTTTTTTAAAAATATCTCTTATATGTTAATATGAACATTCGCAACGATTTGTGTACATTATTGCATTTGTGAGTGAAACTTCAAATTACTTCCAAAAATTGTTTTTGAAAACTCAAAGGATTTTCTGTGAAAAAGCTTCAAATTTTGCACTCACATTAATGCTTAAAGTCCATATTCTTTCAACAAAATTTTCCTTTTTTTGGTATTATGTACTATTCTTTAAGAAATATTTCAGTTCTACTATTAGGAAATGAAACAATAGAATAATTTTTTAAAAATGTACTTTGGGTGGCGATTGATCGCAGCAGCAAGAGTATGTGGCAAGACCAAAAAAACTAAACCAGACTCAAGAAGTTAGAAAACTAACCAGTACAAGAAAGTCTGTCCCATTCTTTAGCACCACTAGCTATTTTTCACATCCTGTTCATCTTTAACATAAGCTGTTATTGTGACTCCATAACATTGAGATATCTTGACATCTCACATATGTGCCTTTTTTTCCTAGCTCATGGGAGGTAGGTAACCCTCCTCCCAGCCCTGCTCCTTGCCTACAATTGCTACGTGCAGCTGCCAGCTGACCTGAAGACCTGTAAAACTTGACAAAGGGAGACAGTTTTGCTCTTCCAAAGCCACCCTCCCACTTGTGACCAAGAGTCTAGAGACAGGACACTCCGGGACCCCAGACCCAAAAAGTAAAGAAGGCTCTCAACCTTCATCAAACCGAACCTTGTGCACTTGACTCCTCCATTGCCATGAAAACTCAGATAATCTTTGTCTCGCAAATGCCTCCTCACTACTCCTTTGGGACTAGCTGTAATTTATCACCCAGAATGCAGGCTCCCAGCAGAGGCCTCCCCCCCCCACAGCCTCCCCCGTCAACAGAAGCTAAACAATGACAAATATTGGAACGAAATGGGAAGACTACAGCTAAGGTTAGCTTACAGAAGCATCCAAGCTACTACATCCACCCATCAAAGCCACTTCAAATGAACAACTCAAGCAATTGGATATGTTACTGATGTATTCAAGGCTTTTTCCTGGACTTTAACACACCTTGCAAATGTTTGGACTGTTCTTTAAAAGAAAATCTCTGCCTTTATTTATCATGAAATGGGCAGAACTGACAATGGTGCTGATAGGCATCACAGGAACCTTAGATTACATAGTACTCACAATGGCTGACATTACAATACATGATGAAAACACAAAATGTGAGGAATTCTATGGTGAACATTTATTGCACCTCAAAAATAATGTTTCAATTAAAATAACCATTGTTGGCATTAAAACGTTATTAAAAATCTATGAAATCAGCAAATAATGAATTAAAAGGATGTTAAAAAAGGTAAAAAAACTAGTTATTAGCCAAAATCAATGAAAAATCTCCAAAAAGTACATACAAAATAGGTAATTGCATTATGTCATAACAAAGTTAATTTCCATATTAAACGGCACCACTCTAAAGTAAACAGAAAAAAAATTAACATTTCATTAAAATCTGCCCCTACGTATTATTATTACAATTGTCTAACTTGCACACATCAGTTTTCTTATGTTCGTAGTATATCTAAATATGCAATTTAAATTAACCCTTGCTTTATATTCATGAGAAAAAGGTATCTTACTTTACTGGCACCCCAAATGAGACAAACACTCATCATTGCTTCCACTGCATTCAGAACAGCAAGCAAAGCCATCATATTGCCAACCATTTTCAGTGAAGTATCTATAAAAAAGTGTCAATACAAGATACAAGCAAAGTCTATTTTTCCTTTTAATCATTAGAATAATATTGTGAGATAACTAAAAAACATTATTTTCTAGAGAGAAAAAAATCAATTCCTGTAAAGTTTATCATCTAATGTAATAAATCTATTATGAACACAATAAGAAAAGTTATTTGACATCACACCACAATACAGTATTCAAAATATCGCAAGCAAAAAATATTTTTTCAATATGACCCAAATCACATTTTTACAAGTTACTTGATTTTGAAAGAATAGAGAAAATTTTTCAAAATATAATTACCACAACCATGTGAACAACGATTACTAAGCATACTACAGGCCTCTGCAGTGAGTCCCAGAAATATTAATGCAACAATCTGCAACAAAGGAGAAAAGTATATCTTATTGACAAGTAGGGCCTACCTATTTTTTAGCACAGTACACAAAAGGAAAAACTGCAATTAACAGAAGGCACACACTACTAATTATGTAATAGCACAGAATTGTAAATATACGATAAGAAAATAAAACTCAAACTTAAATATTTGATTGGATTTGAATCAATGAATGTGGTTCCTTATGGGATCAAAAATATTTTGGTTTGGAAAAATCACAGGTTCAAAGTTAAATACAATACTCTGTTTAGAAAGTATTTTTATTTTTCATGATAAATAATATTTTATTATTATCATCATCATCAATTTAAAAAATTGTTAGCTGTCTTATTTTCAAACAATTCAGTTCAGATCGAACTCAATAATACATTGAGGTTGGTGGATTTTCTGATTATGAATAGACAAAATAAAAATCTCAAATGAAAAATAGATCATGTTATACAATAGATCATGTGGAATTGCAGCAAATTTTACACTTAGTTCTGATATATACTTTGATTTATTGATTGTCACACTGGCAGAACCAGAGGCGGCCCCCTTCAGGGTCATGTCTCCCCCCCTCCTCCAAAATAAGGCCTAGAGTTTTTGTTTGCCTTCCTTTGTTATGCAAAATTTATTTAAATATTTTTGCTTCAATTAGGTCATCATTTAAATAATAGTATTGTATCATACCTATAGTGCATAAATAATATACAATATAATAAATATTGTATTATTTAACAAAAAATTACAAAGCTCCTCCTCCCAAATGATCGACTTGATCCACTCCTGATTGTCAGCTGTTATGGGAGCTTACACATCACTGCAGTTATGTACTATGGAGACACCAATTGGATGACACCACAACAGGTGACACGTTAAGTGCAGTTATGAGTAAATCCAAGTATAATTAACTTTTAAATTTGATAAGATAGCCAACCACAAACAATCTTATTGAACATTACAAACAGAAGTTTACATAAATAGCACTAAAAAATAAAATAAGGTCTCATAATTAATGTCTTTAGTATATTCACTTTTATTAAAACCATTAATTGGTTAAATAAAATATTAATATATTTTATTTCTGAATAACTGCTGAATAATGATTAGGATACATAGTAGGATACATAGTAAGTAACACTACAACAGTTGCATAGCAGTATAGTGACTTATATTAATTCTGAATATAATAATTCAAATGTTGAGAATAAGGGGAACAAATTCTTATCAAAGCGAAGGATGCCACAACAATTGAGCCAGCTCGCAAACTGCAGCAGCAACATTTTGAGGGCAAAATTTGAGATGGATGAACCATTTTACTGTAAAATAAATATTTTACTTACACATTAGTTTAATGGAGAAAAAAATATATAATTTTAAAAATAAGATGACAACAATATCAATTCGAATACACGGTAATGAAGGAAGAGTGTGCACTAGGATTAACAAGATGTGAATTTAAATTACTGCAAAAAACTTCATTTTTGAAGCTTTAATTCCACATTTTACCTACACCCACTTTTAAGAGAATAATAATTATTTAGTAGTCCCTGATATGCACTTGTCCTTTCCTTTAGGAGAAGTGCATTAGAGGTCTCTCAGACTCCTTATTCAAGAAGAAGCAGATGTGGAGCAAGTATGAAAAGCAAATCCCTTCCAGAAAATTATTTTATAAATTACAAAAAATTCAGAAGTAGAGATTATGAAAGTGGATGAGCCTTCTTTATATTGTTTTGTCTTAAAGTCTCCAATAGGAAACATAATTGAAGAACTGCATTTACTCTAAGAAGAACATTATTTTATCACAACTTTGAAAATTAACTCAATTACATAGATTTAATTTTACACATCAAGTGGTAATAGTTTATCTTATGGAACTTGTGTTTGATTTGTATAAGATCAGCGATTACAATTTGAGCTCAGTAGACCTCAGCTTATACTTATTCAGTTGGATTTAATGAAGCCACAATGCCCTTACCCCTCTACCATACATCAAAAGAAGATATGAAGCCTCATCAGTGTAGGAGGGCTGCCTTTTGTATTTCAGGACTAGAGAACAAAAATAAATATTAATCATCGAAAATCATTTTATTGTTTTTCAAAACATTCTCGGGAAGATTTGCATGCGTTTGAACCAATTGTCGAAGCACTTTTACCACTTTGATTGAGGTATCTCCCAAACATGCATCCTGAATGCAGCAACCGCTTCTTCAGGTGTCGAAAAACGTTGACCTCTCAGTTGATTTTTTTTTTTTTTTAGTACGGTAATAAAAAGAAGTCATTCGGTGACAAGTCAGGACTATACAGCGGATGACTCATCAAATCGATGTTTTGGGGGCTCAAAAATGCAGTTGTTTGAGCCGATGTGTGAGAGCTCGCATTGTCGAGGTGAAGAGTGATCCGTCTTCGGGGGTTGGTTTTCCTGATTTCTTGGAAGACAGCTGGGAAACAAATCATCGTGTACCACTCAGATTCTACTATTCTGCGTTGTTCTAGTGGTACGGTTGCGACACGTCCAGTTTTTCCGAAAAAACAGGCGACCATCTGTTTGGAAGTACTTTGTGCGCGAACTTCTGTTGGATTTGCTCATCTTGAAACACCCATACAGTCGACTGCTGTTTACTTTAGGGCTCATACGCGTAAATCCACGATTCATCATCTGTTCACGATGCACGTTTCGAAGCACCGCCGATCGTATTTTTGAGCATTCTTTCGACCAATCGACACGAAGCCTTTTTTTGGAGTGATTGAAAATTGGTGATCCAACGCGAACAAATTTTTTTGACAGTCAAATGTTCATGGCAATATTGAATGTATCCCACTAATGCCTAAGGTTGTCTCAATCTCACGATAGGTCACATGCAATATCAGTCATTTGCAATATCAGTTCATGCACAGCATCAATGGTTTTCGGAAACAACTGATTTTGGACGACCTCCGCGAAATTCGACTTGGAGTTGAACTAACGACCACGATTGAATTCACCATACATCCGATAAACTGGTCCTTGATGAGAGCTTCATGGCCAAAAATTGAATTAGTTCATCATGCACTGTTGCTGAGTTTAATCCACGTCGAAAGTTGAAAAACAAATCTCACCGAAAATGTGCACTATTTTAATTCCATTTTGGCCAAGATGGATCTTTTAAGTTACTGTAAAACGCAAATAGCGCTCGTATGTCAAAACGTTCTGAGAACGTAACCTCAAAAACTTCCAACTTTATAATACAGCTGTCAGTTGCCAGATATGCAACTCCAGGTTGCAAATCCCGAAACATAAAAGGCAACCGTATAGGGTCTCATAAAAAGCATCATTGGTTTATTACTGACTAGAAGGTTATAACTATTTGTCAATGAAAGTACAACTTGCATAATTGAAATTTCACATGCTAACTTGTTACTTCAATTTATTGCACCGAAATATACAAACTAATAACAAACCTTTAAAGATCCCAGACTTTATTATAAGATTAATCTGCAGTAGGTATTGCAAGTCAGAAAATGAGAACATTGAAGGGCAATCTTCAGATGGCGCTAAATGCTGCAATTAAAATAAACATGATATTTCTCATACATTTAAGAAAGTAATAAAAATGTTACTACTATTCTTCCATTCATTGAGAATAAAAAGTGGGTTAAGTAGGGTAAACGGTACACCCTCAGAAGCGTGGTGGCGGGGGAGAGGTCTCCACGTCCTCCCTCAAATTACGCTACGCGTTCTGATAGAAATTACGGATAGGTGATTTTCATGTCTTGACCTTCATACCCTTTGCCCCCGCCGCATTGTAATGTCAATTTACTTTCAAAGGCAGATTTTCTCGCTTCGCTCGCCCGGAGCCAAGTCACGGCTAGGCTCGGATTTTCGGCCCTCGCGTTCACTATAAACGTCCTTGAGTCTATCCACCGCATAATTACCAATTAACTTTTATAAGAAAGCACTTTTCAAGAAAGTGTCCAGAATCGAACTGCGCAGTTGGTGACAGCGTGGCACAGTGCCGGTTTAAACGTCCTCCGAAAGTTGTACCATATACTAGACTTCAGCTTCAGGTTGGATTTGAATTATTTTGTCAAAGAAGAGTAACAAGTACGTGACGTAGGTGGGAGAAATAGAAGTACAAATAGACAAAATTACGACTTTTGTGTATTGTTTACAGAATGGGTTTACATTCACTTCCTTTTGATGTCAACTACTCTGGATTGTCATCTATTTGAATGTAAATATCCTTTCTTATACCAGTCTGTTAAATGAATTATTATTGGACCTCGAAGTGAAGTGGTTCAAAACAAATTCTTCTTCATTTCGAAACACAAATTACAACTACGGTTATCATTCTGTACATTTTGAGAGCTGATGCATAAAGTAATAATATCTGATCATGGTAGTTTGCTAACAACACCTACCTGTATTGATGTACTATATAAAAAAAATATTGGCGCAGAGGAATGTACGTGGTCTCTCCCCAGGCACTGAACGTTGGCTACGGTCAGTCAGATGGTCGCTTCTCTTCTGCTACGTTTGCGACAGTTACGCACCGATTTACGAAATAAAATGTCTCCAGCGGTGGAAACGGCAGAAACTTCCAGATCACTGCAGTCGCCCACAGCGCTCATATACGCGCACTCGCCGATTGTAACGATGAAATGATGGACGTTCTCGTTTCTCAGAGGGGAGTCCCAAGGAGGGGGCAGAGCTACCAACTTACTTGGTTTTTGATACCTCAATTTATACTAAGATTTATTTAACCATGCACTTGGCGTACATCAACTGTTCACGGTTTCATCCAATCGGGAGCTTGAACGTCCCCATAGTGACGTTACTGCAGCGACTTTTAAGCTCCCGATTGGATGCAACCGCAACAGTTGATTTATGTAAAGTGCACAACCAAATAAATCGTACTATATTCGTTCTTCCCACAGATATATGTTGTATATCTACATGAAGTGTCTATAGACTTTGCTGTCTATCTGCTGTTTATTCCACATATATTTGTGGTCGTGCT